TGGAGGTATCAGGAAACAGGTGGTCTCATCTGCTAGCATTGCTGAGCAAGAAGTGACCAGCCTGGAGCTCTGAGACAGTGTGTCGATGTGAGGTGATTTCTGTCACCTTCAACTGAGTTAGACTGACTTATCCCATGGGTAGAATGAGGGACCGCCTCCCGGCCTTCCAGAACCTCTGGTGCTGCCCTCGCCCATGCACTTACCACACAAAACTACATGTGCACAATGAATTGGTGCCCTGACCCTGGTTGTGTGTGTTTTTTTTTCTTTTTCTTTGTTGATTTTAGAGAGAGCAGAAGGGAAGGAGAGAGACAGAAACATCGATGAGAAAGAACATGGATCAGCTGCCTCCTGCATGCCCCCCACTGGCGATCTGGCCCACAACCTGGGCATGTGTCCTGACTGGAAATCGAACCAGTGACCTCTTGGTGCATGGGTCGACGCTCAACCACTGAGCCACACCGGCCAGGTACCGACCCTGGTTTTTAATGGCATCCCACTTTTGCTTACTCCCTTCCTCCTTCTTGGGAACAGGAATGTGTCATGTTCATTTCTACACCCAGAGGACCTGTCATAAAGAGGTGTTCAGTGAGTAACTAAATGAATAGATGAATGAATGTCTTCTGGTTGGTCATGAGACTTTCGTAGAACTGAAAAGGAGACTTGTTTGGTCAGAGGCCTACCTTCTGCAAGGCTCAAGTTACCCTCAGGACCTCTCTGAGCTGACAAAGAATTATTATTTCTTAATCTCTCTTCATCCAGACCACAGTGGAGCCAGCCACACCCATGGAACACAAACCAGTTTCCTATTACAGAAAAACAAATCTGACCCGGCCATTTCCCTGCTCAAAACAACTCTCAGTGACGTGTTTGCAGGAGGGGGTGAAAGGGAGTGAGCCTTTGCATCAGGGAACATTCTACACAATAGAACATTCAGTGGTTTATTGATTGATTCATTCAGCAAGCATTTGATTAGCACCTACTATGTGTTGGGCACTGTACATGTGACCTCATCTTCACAGCAAGCTATTAGGACCATGTATTTGTTTCTGTTGCTGTGTAACAAATTACCCTAAATCTAGGGGCTTAAAACATGTGTTATCTCACAGTAGAAGACTGTGAGTGTCTAGATGCAGCTCAGCGGGGTGCCTCTGGGTCAGTTTCTCACGAGGCTGCAGGTGCAGTCCCTCAAGGCTGAGCTGGGCTGATGGACCATTTGCGGCTCATTCATATGGTTGTGGTCAGGCCCCAGAAGATGCACTTGCAAGCTGGCTCCCGTGGGCCTCTCTGGAGCGCTGCCTCGCAACAGGGCTGCTGGCTTGCCGGGGCGATTGATCCGAGAGATGGAGGAAGCGTCCCCAGACAGAATCCACAGTCGTTTCTTACGTAGTCTTCGGTTCGACAGGCCATCACTTCTGCCATCTTCTGTTCATTAGAAGTGAGTGAGTAAGTCTAAGGACGGGGATTACACAGGGTATGCAGACCAAGAGGTGGACTCGTTGCGGTGGTGATTTTAGAGGCTACCTGCCCCAGGTGAGGTAGTACTGTCCTTCCTTCCTTTCGGACTCAGACGCCCAGCTAGTTGAGCAGCGTGTCCAGGTCACCCAGCTGGAGTGCTGTCTGGCCGAAGTGGCTTCCACTCCACTAGCTGGGAGGTCGAGGCTGGATGAACTATACCACCGTGGAACTGAGCACCCACCCTTTAGTGGCTTAAAATCGACATTTGTTACCTCCCATCGTTTCCGAGGGTCAGGAATTCAGGCGCAGCTTAGCTGGGGCTGTCCTTTGCCACACGGACCCCTCTCTAACGGTGCCTGAAGATCTTTGGGACACAGGAGCTGGCTTCCTCCACAACAGGGGAGTCGGGGGAGTTTAAGCAGAAGCCTCAAAGCCCTTCAGGACCAGCCCTCAGGAGTCATACACTGTCATCTCAGCCCTATTCGTTGGGGTGATCGCAGGCGGGAATGGGAACAGCGGGAGGCTGGCTGCCACAGGGTGCGACACGGTTAGGAATTCCAAAGCTCAGCTGTGATTAAGTCACTCTCCTGATCAAAGAGATCCAGAGCTTTCCCACTTTCTCCTTAGCTCCATCTCCCCCATCTTCTGGGTGGATGGGCCATCAGGACTGGCAGCCTGGTTATGCACAGACAACCGTCCCCACAGAGATCCTCTCTGAAGTGTTGGCTCCCCACCCTCTGTTCTGTGGGAAGATCTGCCTCCCCAGGAAACCTCCACACGTAGTGATTACACCCCCTCCACCTGCAGGCTCTGCTTGGACGCTGGGATGCGACTGTGAACAAATAGACACCCATCCTCCCTGGAGAGCTTCCAGTCAAGATGGGGAAGTAGACATTAGCCAGTTAAAATAATCTAATCACAGGCTGTGACAGGTTCTCCCAAGGAAAACCGCAGGGTGCCATGTGAGCATAATAATGGGGCACCTGGCCTATGCCGCATGTAGCATCTGAGCCAAGGATGAGCAGGTGTTCTAGCACCTGGTTCAGGTGTAAGTGTGTGAAAATCCAAAATAACTGTAGCTCAAACAAGGTAGGTGTTTTTTTGTTTGTTTGTTTGTTTGTTTGTTTTTGGTTAATCCTCACCCAAGGATATTTTTCCATTGATTCTTGGATAGAGTGGAAGAGAGGGGGTGAAAGAGAGAGAGAGAGACTGAGAGGGAGAGAAACATCAATGTGAGAGACACACATCAATTGGATGCCTCCTGCATGACCCCAACTAGGGCTGGGTATTGAACCTGCAACCCAGGTACAAGCCCTTGACTGGGAATCGAACCCAAGACCCTTTGGTCCATGGGCCAATGTGCTAACAGCTGGGCCAAACTGGCCAGGGTACAAGATAGGTGTTTATTTCTCTCTTGCCTAGATGTCTAGGTAGGTGTTTGAAGGCAGGTACTGTGTCACTCAGTTACAGGGACCCAGGCTCCTCTATCTTGTCGCTCTGCACTATGTGGCCTTCACCACATGGTCCAGGATGGTGGCATCCACATTTTGAGCATCCAGATGGAGAAAGAAACACAGAGGGTAATATACAGCAACTATCCCAGAAGCTGCCACAGCCACTTCCCCTTACATATCAATGGCCAGAACTTGGTCACATGGGCACATCTAGCTGCAAGGGAAGCTGGGAAATGAAACTTTCACCTTGAGCACCCATTTGCTCAGCCAAAAACTGGGAGCGCCATCATCATACAAAAATAGCAACTATAGTCAAGAGTATCTTTCATTTGCACTGTGCCAGGCACGGACCTTGACATACATCAACACATTTCATTCTCACAACAGATCTATGACAAAGGTACTGGTACTGCCCCCATTTTCCAGATGAGAAGACTGAGGGCAAGAGGCCAAATAAGTTAGTGGATAAGCTGGACCACGAACCCATGCAGTTTGGCTCCAGTCTGGGTTCTGTTCACAGTTCAGTTATGAAGAAAGGGAGAACAGCTATTGGGAGACTTGCATTCTCTGCCCATACATCGGGGCAGAAGAGAGAGGAATGCGCTCCAGGCAAAAGGAATAGGAAATGCAAAAGCTCTCCCCACAACTCCTACCTCCAGGAGCCAGGTCCTTTATCACAGTGCCTCTCAAACTTAAATGTGCCAATGAGTCTCTTGGAGATGATGTGAAATGCACACTTGATTCAATAGGTCTGAGCTGGGGCCAAGAGTCTGCCCCATGATGCCCCAGCAGCTGGCCTGTGGACCACCCGCAGACTGTGGACAACATTTTGAGGAGGGAGACTTGTGGTCAAATGCCCGCCACTGCATGACTCCCTCCTGCGATGTGCCAGCAAACAGTCCTTTGGGCCCAGTGGCTACTCAAGGACCCTTCACCTTTCCTGCTGATCTCAGGTTTCCGGTTCAGGCTGAGAGTTCTTCCTCTCTCCCAAGAATACCAGGCCCATTGCTGAATGAATGAATGAAACAAAAGAGGATAGCAGAGGTCAGAGGGTAGGAGAGTCAACTGATCAGGCCATGTGTATGCTCCAGGGGGAAGTTTGGTTCATGTCCTCCCCTACGACAGCCCCACCCCCACCTCCCGCCCCCGTGCTGAAACTGTGCATTCTGGGTCCTCCCAGAGGAACAGGTACCGTCATTTCCCTCTATTTATAGACAAAGAAACCGCCTGCAGCCCTGCTTTTAGAGCAGGAGCCTCCTCCACCTTCCTCCCCTGGGATTTTTCAAGCCCAAGTCACCACGGCCTTGGCGGTGGGGCCAACGACAGAACTGGGGAAGTTCCAAATGAGTTTCCTCTACCCGGTCCTTGTGTTACCTCAATCAGCATCTCCTTTAGTCCAGGGAGATGCTGATGACCTGTGAATTTCACAGAAGGAAACCGAGGCTCAGAAAGGTCTGCCCTGGGCTAAGTCACAGACCAGGCCACCTGGTCTGAGACAACCTGCATGTGCTGAATACCGGAGTAAGGAAAACAGACAGCGACCAGGCCAGCCACGGCAGCTTCAGGTCACTGGGCCCTTAGGTGCCAGGCCCTGCACGAAGCCCGGCCTCCAACGTCCTCAGTTGATCCCCAGGGAAAAGCCCTGCAGCTCAACATCCTCTTAGTGCAGACTCTGGAAAGGGGCGAGGCTCGGGAGGCACAGCAGGGAATGCCTTTTGGTGAAAATGTGCACTTACAAATCTAGGCTTGCCTGATTTCCCTCTCACAGTTGACGCTGTGCACGCCCCAAATCTGGTCCATTCCACTTAATCGTCACAGCCCAAGGAATCTGGTTTGCAAATGCAATAAGCAGAGGCTCAGAGAGGCAGAGGCATTTACCCGAGGCCACACAGAGGGAGGGGGAGAGTGAAGGAAGACACGGTGCGGGGAGTGGAAAGGACGCATGCGTCCTTGGGGGCTCCCTTCCTCTCCGAGAGCCCCCCCCAAGGCCCGCCCCTCCCCCTCCCGGCCCGCAGGCCCCTTTAACTGGGCGGCGGAAGGGGCGTCCGGACCGGCGGCGCCCAATGGGCTGCGCGGAGCGTCACTTCCCGGCGGCGGGAGGCGAGCGGCGAGTGTCGGCGGGGGGCGGCCGGCGGGGGCGGGGCGGCCGGAGGAGGCGTTGGCAGCCGGCAGGGACCCACGCGGCGCCGCGGCCCGCCTGGCCTGCAGCGCTCCCACCCCCGGCGGCGACGGCACGATGCCCTTTGACTTCAGGAGGTGAGTGAGGCGCCCCCGGCCACCGGGAAGCTACCCCCGCGGGCCCAGGGGGTGCCCGGGCACGCTGCGGATTCCTCCTGCCTGGCACGCAAAACTGGCCCCCCGCCCCGTGCATGCCTCGGCAGGCCTTCGGGGACCCCGGGCCGCCGGCCGCACACAAAGCAGCCGGAGCCGAGGAGGGCCCCCTCGTGCAGCCTCGCACCCCTCCGGGCAAAGCCACCCACTCGGGCCACTCCACCCCGTCGCTCCGTGAAGCCCCCTCCCCAGCCTGCCTGCTCCCTAGCCCGTCCTAACACTTCACAGACCCGCACGCCCTCCCCCCATTCTGGGACACAGATTTCCCCTCCTCCAGATGGGAGCACACAAGCCTTCCCCCTTCCTTCCCTCTATGAGCCACCTTTTGTGGATCCCACCCCAGCTGACAGGTACGTCCTGGGCACCTTGAAAGAGCCCCCCAGGGATCCACAGGTCTGCAGCCCATCCCGCCAGCCGGGCATCTGGAGCGGTTTAGGTTACCATAGGCTCGGGCCGCCCTGGCTGGGCAGAGCAGGAGGCCTGTCCCCCAGCCACGCTGGGTCCTGTGCTATGGGTACTGGGGAGCCATGGGGAGCGGAAGAGGCCATGGAGCCTGGGGCAGTGCTGTGCAGAGGCCCAGAGCGCCTGGCCTTGGCTTTCTCCATTCACAATGGCTCCTTTGTGGGTCCAGCCACCTCATGGTCCACGTTGCACTGTTCTAGACCTTCTGAGAGCCTGCCTGGGAAGGAGGTCTGCACCAGACTTCCCCTTGGGACATGGAGCCCCAGGGGATGCCCTGGCCTGAGGCAGCCACACCATGGGTATCTGACCAGGAAAACAGAGCTTCATTGTGGGCAGGAGCTGAATTAGAATCCTGGCTCTGCCCCCTCCACGGAGCAGCTGACTCTGTTCTAGAAGTCAGGGAGCAGTGTCTGGGTGCAGACCACCCCTTCGCTGCAAGTGTCTGAGCCCTCTCAGCATCTCCATGCCACCACCTGCAGGTTGGGGACTAAACATAAAGTCCCACCTGTGAGGATTGAGTGCGTGGGAAGCTCTTAGTGCAGAGCCTGTGTGTAGAGCCCAAAAGTGGGAGTTAGTGGATGAGAAGCTTCTCCACGAGACCATTTCCTTGTCCCCAAATCAGGGATTCTGGTGCCCACCTCACAGGAGGTAACTCTCCCTCCCGGACTGCTCCGTCCCTCCCTCCAGGTGTGAATGAAGTCAGGGTAAAGTGACAGCCCTCTCTGGAAGAAAAGCCTGGCAGTGACCTCATGGCAGGTGGGCATGGTGGGGGTTAGGCCTGGAGAGGTGGTTGGCCTTGGACCCCTTTGAGCTGGCTGATGTGGTACTCCAGCCTGTCCTGGGCTCCGATGCCATCTTGCAAGCATCAGGCAGCTTCCTGGCCCTTCCATGCAGCCCTGAGGCTGGCACCAGGGTCTCAGACAAACTCTTGCAGACACAGGGTGGTTTCAAGCAAGGAAAGTCCCTCTGATGGAATACAGGGGAGTCCTCATACTGACGTAAGAGCTGTGGTTGGCACATGGATTCCTGGCTCCACAAAGCCTCCCCTTCCCCAGGCTGATAATTCCTGCCCTTCCTCCATCCCCATGTGTCAGTGATTTTTGACCTTGGGGGAACCACTGCTTTCGGTCATTTAATCCTTGCACTCTGCCTAATTCCCCCATTTTAAGATGAGAAAGTTGAGGTTTTAGGGCTGAGGGTCTTGCCCCGGACCTCACTCCCAGGTGTTAGATTGAAGGGTGGGCCAGGGTCCCAGGTCATGCACAGCTCCTGACCGGGTACCCCTTGAGAGGGAGGTTTGGACTGTTCAGGACCATGGGCGTCCCTGCTTAATGCAGCAGTTCAATCAGTTCCTTGAGGACGTGGGCTCACCACCTAACAGGGAAAGTGGATTTGACACTTTACAATCCCACCTTGGAGGATGTGCCTTTTGTGTTCCGTAACCTGCAGTTTTTAAGATCTGTTAACTCCAGGGCTCAGGTTCTGAGGAAGGTTTCACCATCCCAGACAACTGCCTCCTCTTCTGTGTTGATTCATCCAGTGTTTACCCTGCTCTGCCCTCTGCCACATGCCCCCTGCGCATGGTGCTGTGGGTGGAGCTGGGGCCGTGGCCCTGTCCTCAGCACTGGAGCCGAGGGAGGCGGGCACAGGGCATTCACCCAGGAGTGGGGGTGTGCGTGGGGCATTCGCCACTGTACAGGCACTGTGGGGTGTGGTTTTGACATCTGTGAGAGGGACTTTTAATCTCATTTGACATCAAGGGAAGGGGAGACCGTTTGCCCAGGACCGGGGTGAGCTGGCGGAGCTAGGATTTGAACTCGGGACTGTTAGCTCCAAAGCCTTAGCTCTGGGAGGAAAGGAAGGGTTTGGAGGGTCCCACAACCCTGTCACATCTCTTAAGAACCATGAGTGGAGAGGGGCATAGTCTGATTGGGTCCCCTCCCCCACTTCAAGGCCTGGGAGAAAACCAGACTTCCTGCCGGGTTTGTTCTCCTTCAAAAAAAATCAGGAGGATTTTGCCCTTTCTTACCAATACTCCTTGTTTCCTTCCTATCTGTGGGACCCTGTGCAACCCCCACCTGTGTTTTCCTGTCTGAGAAATGGGGATGAGAGCAGTTGAGAAGATTAAATGAGATGATGTGTTCCCAATACATTTTGGCCACTATTTTCATTATTCGTGTTATTTCGTTGAAGCACCTGTATTCCTAACACTGTATAATTCACTTGATTGTGTTTATTCGCCTTCTCCCTCCCATGAAAACACGAGCTCCCTAGGGCTGAGATTTTTCTCTGTTTCATTCATTGCTGACTCCTAGAACAGTGCGGGGCCAGACTGGCCCTCGGGAGTGCCCCTGATCGAAGCCAAAGGCGTGGTGCGATTTGGTAGCCGACTCCCTTCGCTGGCGGGTTTCAGCGGTTGGTGGTCCCCCCACGTCTTGCCTTGACTTTGCTCTGCATTTTTGGGGTGCAGGAAGAGGCAGAGTGCAGAAAAAGGATCCTGGGCTTTAAAGATCGCTGTGTTTGCTTTGCTCCTGTGGCATTGTTTCATTAAATGAGGAGCACTGCAGGTGTGGAACTGGGCTTGTGACCCAGATCCGGGGGCGTTGGCCCAGATAGGGCCCAGTTCCTGCTGGCAGGGGGTGAGTACCACCTCCTGCTTCCTGCTCCGCCTGGGGTAGGTGATGGGGGCAGTCCCTGCAGCCAGGCCCAGGGGAGCCTGAGCACTGCTTTTAGGGAAGGAGAGGTGGCCTGCTCCCCGACAGTGGGGGCCCCCGAGTCGTGCTGCTACTCAACACTGACCAGCTGTGTCCTATGACCGTTGACTTACCTTCTTTAGCCTAAGTTTCTTCTTTTTGTTGTTAATCCTCTGAGGATATTTTTCTGTTGCTTTTTAGGTAAAGTGGAAAGGAGGGAGAGGGGGGAGAAAGAAACATCAATGTGCATCATTTGCCTCCTGCACGACCCCGATTGGGACCAGGGATGGAACCTGCAACCCAGGCATGTGCCTTGAAAAGGAATTGAACCTGTGACCCTTTGGTCCGAGGGCTGACGTTCCAACCACTGAGCCAAACCGGCCAGGGCACTCAGTTTCTTCATTTTAAAGGGGATCATAACCTTCACAGACTCACCAGGAAGGGCAGGTTAGGGGCAAGTAAGATGTCCCTGCAAGGTAGGGCCAGCTACATAATTTGTGGGGCCGAGGGCAAAATAAAATGCAGAAGCCCTTGTTGGAAAAGCAGTAAGAATCCAAGGACTGTCAGCAGAGGCGTAAGTAAGCAGCGGCCCTTTTGAGCATGGGGCCCTGTGAGACTCTCACCCACAGTACAGTACTGCTGAGGAGCCTCACACTCGGGCCTTCCAAGTGGCCTCCCCTCCAGGAGACCCCAGCCCTCCAGCCCTGGAGGAAGCCTGAATGAGTTTTCCAAAACTGACCTGGGTTTTCTCATTTCCTGGTTTCAGCTTTCAAGCGGGGTCCATTGCTCTGAGGATCATGTGTGAATTCCTTAGTTCCCCATGCGGCCTCGCCCAAGGGCCCCCTGCAGACCCTTGTTGCCCCCCTCACTCCCTACACCAAGCTAAGCGCCAGCCACCATGGGGGCTCTGAGCGCAATGTTAACACTCAGCAGAATGTAGCTTTCACGAGTGCCTGTATGTCTGCCGTGTCTCATTCCAGAAAGAACTTGGGGAAGCTGACCGGAATGCAGACTTGACAAGTTTTAAAATAGATTTAAAAACCTAACCTAGCCCTGGCCGGTTTGGCTCAGCAGTTAGAGCATCGGCCCATGGACCAATGAGTTATGGGTTCGATTCTGGTCAGGGGCACCTACCTTGGTTGTGGTTCATCCCCAGCCCTGGTCAGCTTGTGCGGGAGGCGGTCAGTTGATGTGTCTCTATCACGTTGATGTTTCTCTCTCTCTCTCTCTCTCTCTCTCTCTCTCCCTCTCTCCCTGTTTCTCTCTCCTTTCCTCTCCCTCCCTCGACCTCTACCTGACGATAAACAGAAAAGTATCCTTGGGTGAAGATTTAAAAAAAAATCTAGTCTAATGAAGATTAGACCAGAGGAAAAATTAGGCAAAAATCAAGCCAGCAATTCAAGTTTATTGAGACTTGGCTAGGGCTGACCCTGTTGTAAGGATCTTACATATATCCACTCATTTACTCCCCAACAACCCTGTTAGGCAGACACTGTCGTTCCCACTTCACAGATGAGCCTGTTGAGGTGCAGAGGTAGGGAACCGGTGGGTGGGCGGAAGGCGCTGGGGTTGGAGGGCTGCCGCCTGGCTCCAGAGCCCCACTGGTGACCCGTAGGCTCGTCTCTAAAGCTTTTCCACTCACCAAGTTCAGAGACCGAAACCTCTAATTGGATCCCATTGACTTTCTTGTCACTAATGCTTTCCTAACAGTGCTCATGAAGAAGCTTAAAGCCATCAACCCCCCCACACACACACCAGCCTCCTGTGGTC